AGTTAAGTGTATTAAGTCTTCAGGGAGTAGTCAAGACTGACAATGCATGCAGGTGCCCAAAGACAAACTGTTTTTGTAGTACTGCAAAACAGTTCCCTGGGCAGATGTGAGCAGCCAATGTGTGCTGTCCACCTCTAGAGTGACCCAGATTCCACTTAATTAAGTAGATGAAAGTGAACTCACCCTAGGGCTCCTGCGAGGTGACTGGACAGCTGGGACCTGCGGGGTACAATACCAATTGATCTCATAGCTGGCTCCCAGTTTCGCCCGCCTACTCACCCACAACACCCTCCTTAGCCTTTACCTCTACAGCATGGGCCACGATCCTCTTTAAAACGATGGGCTTTCTGATTGCAGCCGCACTGGGTGTCTGGAGAAGAGGGATGAACGTGAGCTCAACATTAGGTGAGGGGCCACAAGGGGAGGAAGTGAGAAACCTGGGGCTCACCTTCGGCCAGATTTCAGGGAGGATGCTCGGGAGTTCAGAGCCTGATTTCCGCTGGGACCTCCGCAGAGGCTTAGTAGGAGATGGGGCCCTTGGCCCTGGAAAGAGAAAAAAGTTAAGCGGTAGAGGAGGACTCTAGACCTTAGAGTCCAGAGAACAGGTTCTAGAGACAGCGAGAAAATTCCCAAACAAGCCCTTCTAAGGGCTCCTCCTCTGGAGGCAGCAGCGGGAGGGAAGGGCAATCTTTCACAGGACTGCGTCCCCCAAACGGCTCGACCTCACGTCTCCCGCGCGCCCTCCGCTCACCGGAGCGCTGAGCGGCTCCTCCGGACCGCGTTCGCCTCCCAGACATAACTAAGCTCGGTCTCGAGCTCCTCCAGCGCCGCCGCCCCGGGCGCGCGCCAACGGGGAAGGCCACTCGCTGCAAAAAACTTTCGAATTACCCGCCCTGCGGAGAAGGAAGCGGAAGTGACGTAGGGAGAGAGGTCCGCGGCGTTCGGGCCCCCTCTCTTTTCCACCGGTCTTCACGTTTAGCGTCAGCGGAGGCGTGGCCCAGGGGTGCGATGGCGTCATCAGGGCGCGCCGCACCCGGAAGAGACGTGGCAGCGGAGGGATAATCGGGGCGGCCGGGGCTGAAGGGAGCGGAGCAAGATCCTTGGAGAGCGTGGTCCCTGCCCTTCCTCGCCTCGAAGCATCGCTGCCGCCCTTCGGAACCGGTGCAGCGGCCGATCAGTAAACACAGAGACTAGGGTCTGTAGAGAAGGGGCGGGGCTTGGAGGGGGTGGGGCTCAGGGGAGGCCTTGGGGGCGGGGCCGGTGGTATCGGGGAGTCGCTGATGGAGGGGCCTGGCCGGGGGCGGGATCCAGAAGGATTGAGGGGTCGCCGGAGGTGGGATTTATGCAGGGGGTGTTTCCCCGCATAAGGAGGAACAGTGGGCAGAAATCTTGGGTCGGGGCGAATAAGAGAGTGTCTGGGGGAGTTAAGAGTGGAAACTGGGCTGCTGAGAGCATAGTGGTGGCCACCAGAACCTGGCTTCCTACCAACTCAGGCCCCTTTCCCAGGATCGATCATGGGGCTTTGTAAGTGCCCCAAGAGAAAGGTGACCAACCTGTTCTGCTTCGAACACCGGGTCAACGTCTGCGAGCACTGCCTGGTAGCCAATCACGCCAAGGTGGGGCCTTCAGGGGAGCGACTGAGCAGGGCACTGGGTGGGCAAGGTGGTATTGGCTTCCTCCAAATCCATGAGGGACCCCGCGCTAGAATGTAAGCCCCACAAGGGCAAGGACTTGGTTTATTTTGTTCACTGATATATCCCCCGCCCCCAAGAGAGAGTCTGGCGCACAGTATGTGTTCAATAAATATTGATTGAACAAACAAAAGGATGAGTCTCCTCTGTGACTAGAGAAAAAGAGACTGTCAGACCTTGGGGTGATAGGCCGAGCAGCCCCAGCACCAGTTGTGACATCTCTCTCCCACTCCAGTGCATCGTCCAGTCCTACCTGCAATGGCTCCAAGATAGCGACTACAACCCCAATTGCCGCCTGTGCAACATACCCCTGGCCAGCCGAGAGACGACCCGCCTTGTCTGCTATGGTGAGGCCTTGGCACCTCGGGGGGATCAGGCCAGCCTCAGGGGCCAGCTTGGTGACTGGTTTCCAGGCCCTCCTCAAGCAGCAGGACAGTGAGTCCTCCAAGTCTCAGAACCCAGATTCTAGTCATATTAAAGTTCCTTACCTGCTCTGTAAGTTCAGGCAAGTTATTCTTCCTTTCTAGGCCTCACTGTCTTTCCTAAAAATTAAAGCTCCTAGTTCCTCTTTCCTAAAAATTCAGCCCTGCCAATCTGGAGGTTTGAGTGAGAGCCAGTCAAGCTTATGTGTATGCTGGTGGCCGTGACTATCAGCTAGCCAGACCGGCATGTCGCTTTCAGATATTCAGGATCCACCACTGATTCCAAGTCTAAACAGAGAGGAAGTGAGCTTCCCACATTAAAGTTAGCTAAAAAAAGTCAGCAGACATATGTGTCATGAATTTGACCTGAATCTGGAGTAAGAGCCTTAGCTCCAGTTTTTGAAGGAGCTCATGCAAGAGGCAGCTCCATATGTGTTTCTCCTTGTGAGTACGTGTGTGTACTTGTAGGCACTTAATGTACATTGTGTGTTTAAATGAGTGTTAGTGTGTTGATTAGTACTTGGGGGTGAATGAATGGGTAAATGTATGTATGTAAACATATGAACACAGGTGTGTTGTGGGAGTACAAGAGAATGCATGGTTGAATGTGCCTGAGTGTTAGCAAACCTGTGAGTGTATAGATGTGTATGTGTGAGGGCTCCTGTGCCCATAGTGTAGATATAGTGAATGCTACTTGTGTTTGATTACGTGCTTATAAGCACATGTACATGTGTGCCCAGGGATGTGTACATGCATATGTGTGCCTGTGTGTATATCAAGGAACCTTTTCTGAAACTGTTCATTATTAGCCATTAGCCCAAAGAGTATGATGAGTGCAGGCCCAGAGAGGACTCACTGAAAGGAGAGGTGGCGGTTCTTCCCACCCAAACTTACCCCTGTGAGCTGGACAGCTTGGTAGCACTGCCTGGACTTAGATGGTGATAGCCAAGAAGACTGATGTTTTAGGGAACAGGACGGGGAGGAGAAGGCTCTGGCACACACGTGTGTCCATATGTCCTGCAATGGTTTGGGGGCTATTGCTAGGCTAGGAGCCCTAAGTGTCTTCTTCCTCATGTCTCTTCTCCCCTGTCTCATGGGCCCTAAGATCTCTTTCACTGGGCCTGCCTCAATGAACGTGCTGCCCAGCTACCCCGAAACACGGCACCTGCCGGCTACCAGTGCCCCAGCTGCAATGGCCCCATCTTCCCCCCAACCAACCTGGCTGGCCCTGTGGCCTCCGCACTGAGAGAGAAGCTGGCCACAGTCAACTGGGCCCGGGCAGGACTGGGCCTCCCTCTGGTGAGAGTCCCTCTGTCTGTCTGACCATCCATCTGCCCTGGGCCCCACCTGAGCCAGATGGGTGGGGACAGTACTAGGCAGCCTGGTGACCCAGATTCCTTCCTCCAGATCGATGAGGTGGTGAGCCCAGAGCCCGAGCCCCTCAACACGTCTGACTTCTCTGACTGGTCTAGCTTTAATGGTAAGTGGTGGCTTCCACCGACTGTCTGGGCTTTAGCCTCCCTGCTCTGCTGACAGCTCCCTTGGTCTACAGTCACATGCTCTACCCCTGAGCTCTACCCACTACTTCTGCTGATGGCTCTCTTTCCGCCCACAGCCAGCAGTACCCCTGGACCAGAGGAGGTAGACAGCGCCTCTGCTGCCCCAGCCTTCTACAGCCAGGCCCCCCGGCCCCCGGCTTCCCCAGGCCGGCCCGAGCAGCACACAGTGATCCACATGGGCAATCCTGAGCCCTTGACTCATGGTGAGCCTGGGAGTGACCCAGGCCGCAGAAGGATAGAAAGAGGGTGGTGGAGTGGTTTGTGTACTGGGAGCTTGAGGATCCAGAGAGAGACCCACCTGGAGGAACCTGTCCTCAATCCAGGCACAGCCATTACCTCCGCACGATTCTGAGATGCTCTGTCAGACTGAGGAGGGCAGGTGATCCCCCTAGCCCTCCCCAAAGCGGCCAGTTTTCCTGAGTCTATTGGTGCTAGTGGCTCCACCCTGTAGCCCCTAGGAAGGTGTATGATACGCGGGATGATGACCGGACACCAGGCCTCCATGGAGACTGTGACGATGACAAGTACCGACGCCGGCCTGCCTTGGGTTGGTTGGCCCAGCTGCTAAGGTACACAGGGTCAGGCGGGCGGAATGCCGGGAAGGGGTGGAGAGGGAGTGGGAACCAGAGGCCCTGGGAGGGACAGCTTCATGACCAAAGGGGCTCGTTCTGGGGAGTGACAGTACCTGGTGCTGGGGTGTGCAGGGGCCTTGGCTGTGCAGCAGAAGCTGTGGTTTGCTTCTCTCTGGGGCTGTCTCAGTGCCTCCTACACAGGAGGTTTGGACTCAGGCTCTTTGAGGCCCCTTCCTGAACTGACACCCCCTAATCTTTGTAACTCTCCCCGACGCCTGACACGTTGTAGTTTCCAGAACACAGTCGTGTGCCTCAGCTGGTCTGAGCTGCACAATAAGGCCCTATGGTGGCAAGTGCAGGAGTGATCATCTCTGAGGCACAGACGAGGAGATGGAGGTTCAGGAATGGGTGGTGACCGGGGCTTCTCTCTAGGCCGTGGGGGCCACCAGGGACTGGGGCCTGATCTGATTTTCCCCTCATCCCCCCAGGAGCCGGGCCGGGTCTCGGAAGCGACCGCTGACCCTGCTCCAGCGGGCAGGGCTGCTGCTACTCCTGGGACTGCTGGGCTTTCTGGCCCTCCTTGCTCTCATGTCTCGCCTAGGCCGGGCCGCAGCGGACAGCGACCCCAACCTGGACCCACTCATGAACCCTCACATCCGCGTGGGCCCCTCCTGAGCCCCCTTGCTTGTGGCTAGGCCAGCCTAGGACTTGGGTCCTGTGGAGGAGAGGCGGGGTAATGGGGAGGCTGGGGGCACCTCTTCACTGCCCCTCTCCGTCAAGCCTAAGACACTAAGACCCTGGACCCAAAGCCGAGTCCACCAGAGTGGTTGCAGGCTGGGCCTGGAGTCCCCGCGGGTCAAGCATTTGTCTTGACTTGCTTTCCTCCCGGGTCTCCAGCCTCCCACCCCTTGCCCCATGAAGGAGCTGGCAGGTGGAAATAAACAACAACTTTATTAAAACACCCGAGGCAGCCTTTTCGTTCAGCCTCCTCAGCCCTGTTCCGACTCCCCAGGCCTCAGTGGTTCTCCTCCCGGTACTCGATGGCCAGAAACTCCAAGGACAGGCGGTTGAAGAACATGGCTCCGTTGAGCACTGGGTGGAGGAGAGAGCCCCCCATGAGCCCCAGTACCCTTCCCTGGCTACTCCTTGCCATATCTCAGGGTTCCAAAGCTCCCCGCTCCCCCTTGCACCCTCCCCCTCCCGCCACTCACTCAGGATGGTCAGGGCAGAGCAGCGGATGTACTTGTTTTCTGTCATCTCAGCATAGAGTGACCCCATGGCGGCCCAGCAGATGCTGATCACCTGGGAGAACTGTAGGCCCATCTAGTGGGAGAGTGGCCCCCTGACACAACAGTGGGGTTTCCATCAGCCCCCCGGGCCTCCCATAGCCAGCCCTTGCGTCCCTGCCCCAAGCCTACCATCAGGACAACCGTGTAATGAAAGCTCATGCGTTCGTAGTGGTGGGTGATGCAGAAGTTGTGCACGTCGCTGATGAAGATGCCCAGGTGTAAGAAGAAGAGCATCAGTGCAGCCGTGGTGAGCATCATGCCTTTTGGGAAGAAGAATGTGGCGATGCGGTCTCGCAGCCGCATCTTGCCCACAGCGTAGATGCAAGTCAGACTTGAGAGCTGGAGCAAGCAGGCCCTGCCCAGGAAAAGCAACAGTCTCTCATTCTAGAGTGCCTGGTATGGAATAGCAGTGGGATTCTAGAACCAGGAGGACGGTGGAGGGGACAAGATTCTAGAACACAGGCTGATTCCAGCCAACACAGGACTGCCTCACAGGTGGTAGGGGTGCTCTGAATTGTGAGATCAGTGGGGGCCCATAAGGCGAAGGGGCAGCAGCCCTAGTTGTCCCATACTCACTCTAGTCACTTTTGTGCACATCTCAATTTTCCCACAACGGAGGCAGCGTGAACACAGTCTACAGATGAAGAACTGGGGCTCAGAAAAGTTGAGGGGTATGGTCTAGATTCACAGCAAGTCTTAGGCAGATGAGAGATTAGGACCCACCTGCATAGCTGGAAGGCATTCCCAGGTGAGGGGAGGCCTGGGGTGAATCCCAGGTTCCAAGTATTTGCTCTACCCTCTGGTGGAAAGGAATTACGAGAAGGAAAGATATCAACAGATTCTTCAGAGCTGTCCCGGGATCTTCCCCGTGCCCTTCCCAGTGTGGCCCAGAGGGCACCTGGCTTTACCATTCTCTCCCCAGATGTTCTTACAGGACCCAATGCTGGTCATCTTTCCTCTCTGCCACCTTCAGGTGCTTGGAGCATTTTCACCTCCATCAGTCCAAGAGTCCCATGAGATAGCTGGGGCTGGTGGCATAAATCCTATTTGACAATTGAGTCTGAGGCAGAAAGGATGGTCTTCCTCAAGTTGTCATAGCCAGTAAGGGAGGGAGTCAGTACTGAAACTAAGATCTGATACTACCTGAGGCTGTGCTGAGTGAGCAGGGTCAGATGCAAGCCAGAAGGAAAACATTTCCTCCATGCATGTAAGAGATGAGAACTAGGCTGGGTGTGGTAGCTCATACCTGCAACCCCAGCACTTTCAGAGGCCCAGGTGGGAGGATTGCCTTGGGCCAGGAGTTCAAGACCAGCTTGGGAGACAGCAAGACCCCATCTCTCTCTCTTTTTTTTTTTTTGAGACAGAGTTTCACTCTCGTTGCCCAGGCTGGAGGGCAATGGCGCGATCTCAGCTCCCCGCAACCTCTGCCTCCTGGATTCAAGCGATTCTCCTGCCTCAGCCTCCCGAGTAGCTGGGATTATAGGCACGCACCACCAAGCCCAGCTAATTTTGTATTTTTAGTAGAAACAGGGTTTCTCCATGTTGGTCAGGCTGATCTCGAACTCCCAGCCTCAGGTGATCTGCCCGCCTTGGCCTACCAAAGTGCTGGGATTACAGGAGTGAGCCACCGCTCCTGTCCAGCAAGACCCCATCTCTTAAAAAAAAAAAAAATTGCTGAGTGTGCTGGTGCGTGTCTTTAGTCCCAGCTACTCAGGAGGCTGAGATGGGAGGATTACTAGAGCCCAGGAGTCCCAGGCTGCAGTGAACTATGATCGTGCCACTGTACTCCAATCTGGGGGACACAGAAAAAAAGAAAGGAAAAGAAAAAAAACAAAGGTGAGCACTCCAAGGCCGTCAACAAAATATGCCAGAAAAACAGCCAGAAATGGTATAGAGTGAGATGACAGCTCCCAGGGATTGAAGCAGGAGAAGAGGAGGGAGGAGCACAGGACTTGATGTTGAACTTAGCCACCCCACTGCCTCCTGCCCAACTGTTTGCCCCAAAAGTTAGGTCCCAGGTCAGCCCAAGACCCACAGGCTGCCTCTCAGCAGCGGGATTAGCGCCTGCACCCGCCGCCTGTGCTTGCTGACTAGTCTCCAGACAAGCACAATAGTTCTTCAGAGCCCCATCCTAACCACATAAAAGGGGTGATGCCCCAAGGCCCAGCTGTGGTCCCACTGTTGAAACAATTGTTTGTGCCTCAGTCCTTATTTGAATACAAATGAACTTTTATACATAAAAGTTCCTAGCTCCTAATTCTATTTTATTTTTGAGACAGAGTCTCACTCTATCGCCCGGACTGGAGTGCAGTGGCGGGATCTCAGCTCACTGCAACCTCCGCCTCCCGGGTTCAAATGATTCTCCTGCCTCAGCCTCCTGAGTAGCTGGGATTATAGGCATGTGCCACCATGCCCAGCTAATATTTTTTTTTTTTTTAAGACGGAGCTTCGCTCTTGTTGCCCAGGCTGGAGTGCAATGGCGCCATCTCAGCTCATAGCAACCTCTGCCTCCAGGGTTCAAATAATTCTCCTGCCTCAGCCTCCCAAGTAGCTGGGACTACAGGCATGTGCCACCAAGCCCAGCTAATTTTGTATTTTTAGTAGAGACGGGGTTTCTCTATGGTGGTGAGGCTGGTCTCGAACTCCCGACCTCAGGTGATATGCCCACCCTGGCCTCCCAAAATGCTGGCATTACACACGTGAGCCACCACGACCTGCCTGGATGATTTTTCTTAACACTATTCTCCAACTTTTAAAAACGCTTATAGACTTCTTTGAGTAGGCCTCAATCTATACCCTTTTTCATGTTCTTAAGATTATAGTTTCATAGGCTGAAATCAAGTATTTTAAATGGTTTCTAGACATCCCATTGATTCAGAGGTCAGCAAACTTTTTCTGTAAAATAGTAAATATTTTAGGTTTGGAGGACCATGCAGTCTCTGTGGTAGCTACTCAACTCTGCTCTATTTTTTTGTTTTTTGTTTTTTTTGAGATGGAGTTTTGCTCTTGTCACCCAGGCTGGACTCACTGCAACCTCTGCCTCCTGGGTTCAGGCGAGTCTCCCACCTCAGCCTTCCGAGTAGCTGGGACTACAGGCGAGCTCTTCACCTTTGTGCACAGCTGCACTTTTGTCCAAGTCAGAACCCTGGGAGAGCAGCTCAGGAGGCTGAGGTGGGAGGGGAGGTCAAGGCTGCAGTGAGCCGAAGACAGCACCACTGCACTCCAGCCTGGATGACAGAGCAAAACCCTGTCTCAAAAAAAAAAAAAAAAAAAAAAAAGGAAAAGAGAACCCTGAGAGTTATTCTCCACATTTCCACCCAGCCCTTCACTCAGCACATTCCATCAGTCAGTCACATAAGCTCTGCTGAGTCTGTCCTTTTTTTTTTTCTTTTTAAATAATAGAGAGGGGGTGGGTCTCACTATGTTGTCCAGGCTGGTATTGACCTCCTGGGCTCAATCAGTTCTCCCACCTCCGCCTTCCAAAGTGCTGGGATTACAGGCGTGAGCCACTGTGCCCGGCCTTACGGGTTCTTAAATGTGAGTGTGTATCAGAACTACTTGAACTACTTGGGAACTTTCTAAAAAGAAGCTAGACCTGGGTGAACCCCAGAGTCTTTTTTTTTCTTCTTGCTCTGTCACCCAGGCTGGAGTGCAGTGGCACCATCAGGGCTCAAGCAATTCCCCCACCTCAGCCTCCCGAGTAGCTGGGACCACAGGCGTGCGCCATCATCCTGGCTAATTTTGGGTTTTTTTTTGAGACAGAGTCTCGCTCTGTCATCCAGGCTGGAGTGCAGTGGTGAGATCTCGGCTCACTGCAACCTCTGCCTACCGGGTTCAAGTGATTCTTCTGCCTCAGCCTCCCGAGTAGCTGGGACTACAGGCGCGAGCCACCATGCCTGGCTAATTTTTGTATTTTTAATAGAGATGGGGTTTCACCATAATGGCCAGGCTGATCTCGAACTCCTGATTTTGTGATCCGCCCGCCTCAGACTCCCTAAGTGCTGGGATTACAGGCGTGTGCCACCGCGCCCGGCCTGTATTTTTTTAATAGAGACGGAGTTTCGCCATTTTGCCCAGGCTGGTCTCGAACTCTTGGGCTCAAGCGATCCACCCGCCGACGGCCTCCCAAGCGCTGGGATTACGGGAGTGCCTCGCGCAGCTCAGCGCAGAGACTTATAATGCGCCACAGATAGTCCTGAAGGCAATTCTGATGCACGTCAGAGGACCAGGCCCTAAGTAGAACTGCGCTAGAGGCACGGTACAGAATAGTGTACATGCATTTAATCCTCGTAGCCCCCCTGTGAAGTATGTACCCCAATTTTAGGAATGGGATAAACTGAGCCACTGCCCAGGTCTCAAGACAGTGGCGGGATCCCAGGAACACTCTACTCTGGCCTCACGTCCCACTTCCGTCCATTGTGTCTGGGCACATATTCCGTGGGCCGCTTGCCTGCGGTAGTGCAGGTTTGGGAGCCACTACCCGTCCCCGTTCTGGGAGAGCAGCAACCCCAGGCAGTTGCACAAAATGCTTCCACCTAGGAAACTGGGGGAATTCAGGACTCTCCCGGAACCTTTGCAACCGGGGAAGACAGGTGCGGGGGAACTCTAGTCTCGAAGGACCTAGGGCTGCAGGGGGATGTTTCACGTGAAGGACTGCCTCGTTTCAACAACAACTTTATGGCTCCCGGAAGTGCCTCCTCCCCGTCCCCTTCCTTCCCAGCCTCACGCCCGTGGGCTGCAGTTGGAGCGATGGCGGCAGCAGCTGCCGCCGGGCCTAGCCCGGGGTCTGGACCTGGGGACTCCCCAGAAGGGCCCGAGGGGGAGGCTCCGGAGCGTCGGCGGAAGGCGCACGGGATGCTGAAGCTTTACTACGGCCTCTCGGAAGGGGAGGCAGCGGGACGCCCTGCGGGACCCGACCCCCTGGACCCGACTGACCTGAACGGGGCGCACTTCGACCCGGAAGTTTACCTAGACAAGGTGTGTGTGCGGGGAGCGGGGGATGCGGGGAGGGGGGAAGGGCACCAGGCCCCTGATATATTGCTCCCCCAGATCATGCCTCCGACTTTTTGTGAGGTTGAGGGGAGCAGGGGTTCATAAGAGGACGAGCCTCGGCCAGGGAGTACGAGCATCTCAGGCGTCTGAAGTGATACGAATAGGACTGGACTGGCCTAAGGTGATGCGGCAGCTGAGGTCTCCTGGGCTGATGTGATAGGCCCCGGATTGGGGGCGTGGCCCAAGCGTTGACAGGCGCGGGGCTGGGCTTAGGCCGAGCCCCAGGATTTCAAATGCTGACAAACACCAAACAGGGTTGAACCTAGTAACCCCTGAGCTAGGCCACGTAGGGCCCCATGCCTGGGATTCCTGAGAGTCGGCGGGGGCTTGGGGGGTGGGGTGGGGATCAGAGATTTCTTGCACTGAAAGCCTATCAGCTGCGGGCAAGGCTGAGGGACATGAGTGCCTCCTGAACCGAACACTAACCACCCAACTTCTTCAGCTGCGTAGAGAGTGCCCTCTGGCCCAGCTGATGGACAGTGAGACGGACATGGTGCGGCAGATCCGGGCTCTAGACAGCGACATGCAGACCCTGGTCTATGAGAACTACAACAAGTTCATCTCAGCCACAGGTGATCCCCACGGGGACACACGCTCCAAAGTCTCACAGCCCCCATTCTCCCACCTGTGTTGGGAAAACCAGCAAGGGATTTAGAGGGGGGAGACTCAGATTCCAGTCTTGCCCTGACATTATTCCATTCTCACCTCCTTCCCTTTGAGCCTTCGTTGTCAGACTACTGTAGAGATAATAGCTGCTCTCGGAGAGTTGTCTTAAGTACCAAAGGAGAGAAAAGACAAAAGGAGATTATTTGTTTATTTTTTAGACACAATGTCTTGTTCTGTCTCCCAGGCTGGAGGGCAGTAGCATGATTATGGCTCACTGCAGCCTGGACATCCCAGGCTCATGTGATACTTCTGGATCCTCCCAAAGCACTGGGATTATGGGTGTGAATCCCTGGCCCAGCCCAAAGTGAAATTTTAAAATGAAATGTATTTATCTGAAGCACTTAAAAGGCCAGGTATGGTGGCTGATACCTGTAATCCTAGCACTTTGGGAGGCTGAAGTGGGAGGATCACTTGAGCCTAAGAGTTTAAGATTGACCTGGGAAATACAGTGGGACTCCATCTCTACAAAAAAATAAAATATAAAAATTAGCCGGACATGATGGCGTATGCCTGTAGTCCCAGCTACTCAGGAGACTGAGGAGGGAGGATCACATGAGCCTGGTAGATGGAGGCTGCAGTGAGCTGTGCTTGTACCACTCCACTTCAACCTGGGCAACAGAGCAAGACCTTGTCTCAAAAAAAAAGAAAATATCTATCTGAAGAAGAATCCCTGACAGGAGGCTGGGCGCAGTGGCCTATGCCTGTAATCCCAGCACTTTGGGAGGC